TATATATATATATATATATATATATATATATATATATATATATATACTCTTTCATATAGATTTACAGAGGTGTGAATTTTATTCAATTCATCATCATAAAGATGCACATCACTACAAAGTCTTGCCACTTTGTTTGTTTTGTTTACTTACCTTTAAGCCCCTTATAAATCTGGCCTCTAAATTAAAAACAAAACAAAACAAAACAACTTTCCACAAAAGAATTCTTGGCTCTGTAAAGAAATCCGGTTAGCCACAGAATTTAAGAAATAGAAATTTCTCATAACGAGTGGGAATAATTTACATAACTTTTCAAAATAACATTTTCAAAATGTTTAAGTCTTAGCCTCTGCAGAATTACTCACCCTGGTCATTATATCGAGACAGATCGGCCTGGCTGATGAACAGGTCATGATCACTATCTAGCTCCCAGAATTTACAATATATAACATAGAAATGTTCATAGGAGAAGTAATCTGTGATTTGATTTATATCTTCCTCTTCTTCTAAAAGGGCTAGAGTCTGAAAATAGTATGAATAGAAGATTAATTTTAAAATTATGAAAAACAAGCTTAGGCATTGTAGTCTAGCAAGTTTCTGTTTTAAATTGAATTTAAAATTTTGTCTTTTGTACTAAACCAGGTACTTTTTTTTAATAGGTAACCTGCTACTACCTTTAATCAACTGATTCATCTACAAGCATTTATTGAGCTCTGTGGTATACTTATCAGCAAAAGGCTAAATGATGTGGAGGATACAAAAGCAAGGAGAGGGAAGGATCATCACTAAGAGGGCTGTAACTTCTCAAAGGTCCCCAGACTGGTAGGCACAGAACAATCAGACGATAGACTTAAAATGCATGGCCATAAACTAACACTGCTCTTAACTTTTCAAAGTTATGTGAGCAATATTAAGAAGCTTGGGAATCACATACAGCGTTTATTTGTAATGAAATCAAGGATACTATAAGATTAGTTATGCACACAATTGTGGTAACATATGGTGGTGGCCTTGCATAGAAGGCATAGTGGGTGGAGCTGCAGGATCCTGAGCTAGAAGAAAACTGAGTTTCTTGACTCACTATGTATCCCTAAGGAAAACATCACAAGTAAAGATTATAAACACACAATTCTATAGTGAGCCAAATTAAATGAGTAGATAAATGAACAATTTCAGAAATGGAATATTCAAAAAGAAACCTTAAGGAAACAATGAATAGAACAAAAGTCAGTTGGCAGAAATAAGGTCAGATATGTCAATAATCACAATAAAGATAGATGAGCTTAATCTCCCTACTGAAAGACTTTAAAATTTTTTTTATTTGTTTTAATTAGTTATACATGACAGTAGAATGAATTTATGCACTTTGATATATCATACATAGATAGGATATAATTTCTCATTTTTCTGAGTGTATATGTTGCAGAATCATATTGGTCATATAGTCACAAATATACATACAGTAATAATGTGTTTCGTTCTACTATCTTTCCTATCCCAACATCCCCTCCCCTCCTTCCCTATCACTTCCCTCTACCTAATCTAAGGTAATGCTATTCTTCCCTAGTACTCCCCGTCTTATTGTGAATTAGCATCTGCATATTAGAAAAAATGTTCGCCCTTTGGTTTTGTGAGATTGGCTTATTTCGCTTAGCATGATATTGTCCAACTCCAACCATTTACTGACAAATGCCCTAATTTCACTCTTATTTAAAGCTGAGTAATATTCCATTGAGTATATTTATCACATTTTGTTTATCCATTCATTTATTGAGGGACACCTAGGTTGGTTCCATAGTCTAGCTATTGTGAATTGAGCTGCTATAAACATTGATGTGGCTATATCACTATAGTATAAATAAAAATAAAACAAAGGTTATTGTGTGCACAACAACTAAAAAATATTTTTTAAAAAAGTCTTTCATGAAATACTATAGTGAAAGACTTCTAAAAAATATTTTTAGTTGTTGATGCACACAATAACCTTTGTTTTATTTTTATTTATTTTTATGTGGCTGAGGATTGAACCCAGTGCCTCACATGTACCAGGCAAACACTCAAAAACACTCTATCACTGAGCCATAATCCCAGCTCCCTGAAAGACTTTTTGATTGAGTATGAAAACCAAATCTAGAAAGATGATTTTGGTATATGAATAGCTATAAGAGGTTACACCTACAGAAAAAAAAGAAAGGTAAATATAAAAAGGTAATATTAAGAAAAGTAATCAATGAAAAGGAAAATATGTATTAATATTAGTAGAAAATAAAATGGAATTCAAGATGAAAATCAAATGACAGAGAGGACTGTATCAAAATACAAATGCATTACTTTGATAAAATTATTTTTTAAATGCAGACAGAAACCAAAATGCTCTGGTAAATTGAAAACAACAGAAATTATTAAATTATGGCAAATCTGATTAATGGAAGATTTTGTGGTGAGTAAAAATTATAGTCTACATATAAATATAGGAAAACCATGATGTAGTAAGGGCAAAATATAAGCTGCAAGATTATACATATCAAGAACTGTGCAAAATCCCCAAAATCCATATACGCATATGAATGGGGCTAGAATAACATACAAAAATGGCACTACTTGCATTAGAGGAGTAAAATGTGGTTTTTCTTCTGTGTTATAAATTTTCTTGTAAATGGTTTGTTTTATAAAGTATCTTTTCATGTGTATAAAGCAGAATATTGTCAGTAATAAAACAAATCTTTCACCTACTGGATTGTCACAACATAAAGAAGAAAAATGTCTTCTTTTGTTGGTGAGTATGTAAGTGAAGGTATGAACTAGGCAGAATCTATCAAGTTAAAATTTTAAATGCCATCTGATGCAGGATTTTCCCTCCAGTGGTCTATTCTGTAGGAAATTTCTGGCTTATATACAGCCAAAAGGAAAGTATAAGGATGTTTTCTACACCACTGTAATAGAGAAAATCTGAAATTGAGGAATATGTAATTAAAGTGCAGCATGCAATTGATAATGCAGTTGTTAGGAGAAATGAGATAGATTTACATGAATGGAAATGAAAGAAGTCCAAGACACTGTTAATAAACAAGTTACCAGAATAGTAAGTATGAACCCATATATTAGGGGGAAAAGTCCTCATAATAGCAGCCACACAAAATTATATATTCCATATATGCATTTACAAGGAAATAAAACTACAAATAATATGGGTTCCTTCTGGGAAGGAGAGTGAAATGGCAGAGTAAAGACAAAGAGCAACTTTTGCTTATCTTTTAATCTAGATATATCCATATTATTTGCAAGTTTGGAATAGTTGTTCATATACTAAAAGAAAGACTAAGGCAAGAGATAGGGAAGAAAAGGGAGACAAAAATAAATTACACTCCAAGAAGAGAACATTTGAGTTCTATTTCCAGTTCAGCAACCTGCCTGCTATATGCTCTTATGCAATATAGTCAATTATATTTGAGACTCAAGTTTTATTATCAGTAAAAAATTGATTATAATAATAATGATTCAAAAACTACAAATGATAATGTGCTTCAGAAAATGTGAGGGAGTATTATCATTGTTCTTAAGATGTTATGGAGGGCTGGGGTTGTGGCTCTGTGGTAGAGTGCTTCCCTAGCATGTGTGACGCATTGGGTCTGATCCTGAGCACCACAACACAATACAAAACAACACAATAAAATAAAGTTATTATGTCCATCTACAATTAAAAATTTAAAAAAAGATGTTATGGAAATACTATCATCTTAACACATTCCATAATACTACTGAGAACTGAAGTAGGCATCAGGTATTCAATAAGCATCAAAATTACTGATCATTTTAGAACAAAATGTTTTAAAATCTATTATGAACTGTTAATTTGGCCAAATCTTCAATACCATGACTGTCACGGGAAAAAATAAAGAGTAATAAGGTTGTATTATTTGCCAAAGCTTCATTTAATAAGATTCATTTAAAATAAAACATTTCTTGGTAGGCTGACAGGAGGATTGCAAGTTTGAGGTCAGCTTCAGCAACTTAGTGAAACCCTATCTCAAAAAAATAAAAGAACATGAGATGAAGCTCAGTGGTAAAGTGCCCCTGGGTTCAATACCCAGCATTGCATAAACAAAAACAAAAACATTTGTTTTTAAGTCAAAACAATTCTACTTTAGTTTTATAGAAGCTGTGATCAGGCATGAAGATTACCTCAGTAAAAGGCTCCCACTAGTGGTCAATACTTTCATTTGATAAAATAACTGAATGAAATGTATTCCTATTTTAAAGGAGTTTTTAGTACTGTTCTTTAGCAGTAGTTGGATAAACTCACTGCAGAAAGAATCAGGTCCATATTCTTCCATTTCTTTAGTAAGGCACTTCCCCAACCTGGTTCCAGCCTCATCAATGGTCACTCTCCCAAGGGCTTCTGGCCACTTAATACTGTTTGGCAGTTCTTGAACATGACACTTTCATGTTTTTGCCTTTTGCTTATGCTGCTTCTTCTGTCCAGAATTCCCTTTGAACTAATTTTTTATCTTGGTAAACTCCTGATATCCTCCAAGTCAAGACCACATGCCATCCCTTCTATGAGACCTTCTCTGCACCTTTTACACTTGTCTGTGGAATCTATCAAGTCTGCTGTTGCTGTCTGTGCTTGTCTCTCTCTTGCTCCACAGTGCATGCCTTAAGGCAGATATGCCTTGCTATTCAATTTTCCTCCTCCCCCTCCCCCTCCAACACATTCTGGTCTCTCACTATAGGTATCTGATAAATGCTTAATGTCTAAAAGTAGTGATAAAGCTTTGCATACAGTAAGCGCTCAAATATTTGTTAAATGAAGTAAAAGGATTAAACTGTTCTTTATATCACTGTATGAGAGGCATACTTGCAAAAAGTTGCTTTTTCTTATCTCTGTCGAAGTAATTTTTCCACTCCAAGATCTGTTGACCGTGTAGAATATTCTCTGAATAACCTGGTTCCAAGGAAAACAAAACCAAATAAAAATATTAAAGATCTCCATTATTTTACCAGTATATCTGGAGGCAATATTTTTTTTGAACCAATTTAAGTTTTGATATCAGGTATAATTCCTGGTGAAAAATAAACCTACATCTACATAGTTTGAATCTGCTTTTATAATTTTGGGAAGAAAAAATTTTCTGCTCTCAAGTCTTACTTTCCCAACTGCTTACACATCCCTACCTTTATTTACCTCTCATTTATACAGTGATGCCCAAGTAGTGTTTATTGGCTGAATGTTCTGAGAAGGCAAATGTGGGGGTAGTATCTCCTAGGTTGGTCTTATGACTGATCAGTAGTCAGAAGGATGGCCGTCAAGGTGGTATGATTGAAGAGCGCATTATTCTGGTTATTAAAGCTTTATTCATCAGAGCCTTGAAGACCTCTGGTTTTCCATACTTTTATGGAAACTCAAAATACATCTTGGGTAATTTACATGCTGACTTTCACATGGGCATAAACACCTTTCTTATCAGCTAGTGTTTTAATGAGTTTAGCAGAAGCAAAACTCTGGAAAACACCAGAGATAGGATGGGAAGGAAACAGGAAATAAATGTCTAGACTGGGGATGTGTGCTACAGCATAGGGGAAGACTGGAAAAGTAAGATAGAGGCTGCAATCCCTGGTACCAAAAAAAAAAATCAAAATCTCATTTTTCATAATTCCATGTCCCCTCTCGTAAGTTAAAGTCAATTTCAGTGCTTGCTTCAGCAGCACATATACTAAAATTGGAATGATACAGAGAAGATTAGCATGGTCCCTATGCAAGGATGATAAACAAATATTTTTGAAATATTTTCAAAAAACAATTCCCAATAAGGTTTAGATTTGACGATGAAATAAAAACCTTCCATAATAAACGAAAGAATTTACAACTAGAAAACCTGCACTGCACTAGAACATCCTCGGCAAAATATTCCATGAGGAGGAAATGAAAAAAACAACAATGAAAATCAGCAAAAGGCAATACTACACTAAAGGAAAAACTAATCAAAGGAGAAATCAAGTCAAATGAAATAACAAAAATAAACAAAAATGACTAGGAATACAAATCATGTCTCAATAATAATCCTGAATGTTAATGGCCTAAACTCACCAATCAAAAGACATAGACTGGCAGACTGGATTGAAAAAAAAAAAAAAAAAAAAAAAAAGACCCAACAGTATGCTGCCTTCAAGAGACTCATCTCATAGGAAAAGACATCCATAGACTGAAGGTGAAAGGTTGGGAAAAACCATACTACTCACATGGACTGTGGAAACAAGCAGGGGTTTCCATCCTCATATAAAATAAAGTAGACTTCAATCCAAAGTTAATCCAAAGGGATAAAGAGGACATTTCATACTGCTTAAGGGAACCATCCATCAACAAGACATAACAATTATAAATATATATGCCCCAAACAATGGAGCATCTACATTTATCAAACAAACTCTTCTCAAGTTCAAGAGTCAAATAGACCACAACACAATAATTCTGGGTAACTTTAACACACCTCTTTCACCACTGGTTAGATCTTTCAAACAAAAGCTAAACAAAGAAACTACAGAACTCAATAATATAATCAATAACTTAGACTTAACAGACATACATAGAATATTTCTTCCATCAATGATTGAATATACTTTCTTCTTAGCAGCACATGGATCCTTCTCTTAAATAGACCATATTTCATGCCACAAAGCAACTCTTAGCAAATACAAAAAGTAGAGAGACTACCCTGCATTCTATCAGATCATAATAGAATGAAATTAGAAATCAATGATAAAATAAAAAATAGAAGCTACTCCAACACCTGGAGACTAAATAATATGCTAGTGAATGAACAATGGGTTGCAAAAGACAGCAAAGAGGAGATTAAAAATTCTTAGAGGTAAATGAAAACACTGATACAACATATCAAAATCTCTGGGACACTATGAAAGCAGTACTAAAAGGAAAGTTCATTGCATGGAGTTCATTCCTTAAAAGAAGAAAAAGTCAACAAATAAATGACCTAACATTACATCTCAAAGCTCTAGAGAAAGAAGAACAAATCAACACCAAAAGCGGAATACAGGAAATAATTAAAATCAGAGCTGAGATCAATGAAATTGAAACAAAAGAAACAACTGAAAAAATTGAAAAAACAAAAAGTTGGTTCTTTGAAAAAATAAATAAAATTGAATAACCCTTATCCATGCTAATGAAGAGAAGGAGGGAGAAAATTCGAATTACTAAAATTTGTGATGAAAAAGGAAATATTCCAATGGACACTACAGAAATACAGGAGATAATTATAAATTATTTTGAAAATTTGTACTCTAATAAAACAGAAAATATCAAAGACATCGACAAATTTCTAGAGTCAGATGATTTGCCCAAATTGAATCAGGATGATATATACAAGTTAAACAGATCAATTTCAACCAATGAAATAGAAGACGCCATCAGAAGCCTACAAAGCCCAGGACCAGATGGAAACGCACTTGAGTTCTACAAGACCTTCAAAGAAGAACTAATACCTATACTCCTCAAATTATTTCATGAAATAGAAAAAGAGGGAACACTTCCAAACTCATTATATGAGGCCAATATCACCCTGATTCCAAATCCAGACAAAGACATATTAAAGAAAGAAAACTTCAGACCAGTACCTCTAATGAACATAGATGTAAAAATTGTCAATAGAATTCTGGCAAATCAAATACAAGGATGTATCCAAAAGATAGTGCACCACAATCAAGTGGTGTTCATTCCAGGGAGGCAAGGTCGGTTCAACATTCAGAAATCAATAAATGTAATTCATCACATCAATAGACTTAAAAATAAGAACTATATGATCATCTCAATAGATGCATAAAAAGCATTTGAGAAAATACAACACCTTTTCATGTTCAAAACACTAGAAAAACTAGGGATAACAGGAATATATCTCAACATTGTAAAAGCTATCTATGTTAAGCTGAAGGCTAACATCATTCTAAATGGAGAAAAATTGAAGGCATTTCCTCTAAAGGGATGCCCTCTTTTACCACTTACATTTAACATAGTTCTTGAAACTCTAGCCAGATCAATTAGACAGATGAAAGAAATTAAAGGGATATGGATAGGAAAAGAAGAACTCAAACTATCACTATTTGCTGATGACTTGATTCTATACCAAAAAATTCCATCAGAAACGTTCTAGAACTAATAAATTCAGCAAAGTAGCAGGATATAAAATCAACACTCATAAATCAAAGACTTTTTTGTACATCAGTGACAAATCCTCTGAAAGAGAAACTAGGAAAACTACCCCATTTGCAATAGCCTCAAATAAAAAATGAAATACTTGGTAATCAATGAAAGCGGTGAAAGACCTCTACAATGAAAACTACAGAACACTAAAGAAAGAAATTGAAGAAGTCCTTAGAAGATGGAAAGATCTCCTGTGTTCTTGGATAGGCAAAATTAATATTAATTGTCAAAATGACCATACTACCAAAGCACTATAGAGATTTAATGCAATTCCAATCAAAATCCCAATGACATAGAAATAGAAAAAGCAGGGCTGGGGTTGTGGTCAGCGGTAGAGCACTCACCTCGCATGTGCGAGACCCTGGGTTTGATCCTCAGCACCACATTAAAAAAAGTGAATGAATAAAATAAAAGCAGGAAGCATCACACTATCTGATCTGAAATTATACTACAGAATTGTAGTAACAAAAACAGCATGGTATTGGCATCAAAATAGAAATGAAGATCAATGGAACAGAATGGAAGACCAGGGACCAATCCACATACCTACAGCCATCTGATCTTTGACAAAGGTGCCAAGAATATATCCTGGCGAAAAGACAGCCTTTTGAACAAATGGTTCTGGGAAAAATGGATAGCTATATGTAGAAAATGAAACATTCCACTGTTGTTGTATATTTAAAAAATAATAAAATCAATAAAAAAGAATATTAATTTGTTAAAAGGGCGAAAAGACTTAGGAATTAGACCAGAAACCCTGCAAATGCTAGAAGAATACACAGGGTCAACACTCCATCATACAGGTGCTGGCACTGTTTTCCTTAACAAGGCCCCCAAAGTGCAAGAAATAAAACCAAGAATCAGTAAGTGAGATGCCATTAAACTAAAAAGTTTCTGCAGAGGAAAGGAAACAATTAACAGCATGAAGAGAGAGCCTACAGAATTGAAGAAAATATTGGCCAGCTATTTTCCAAAATACATAAAGAACTCAAGCTGGGCACAATGGCATATGCTTTTAATCCCAGCAACTTGGGAGGTTGAGGCAGGAGGATCGTGAGATCAAAACCAGCATCAGCAGATTAGCAAGGCACTTAGCAACTCAGTGAGAACCTGTCTCTAAATAAAATAAAAAAGGGATGGGGATATGGCTCAGTGGTTAAGTGCCCTGTACCAAAAATAAAACAAAACAAAACTCAAGTAACACATCAATAAATCAACAAAAGAACTAAACAGAAACTTCTCCATGAAAGAAACACAAATGGCCAACACATACATGAAAAAATATTCAACATCTCTAGCAAACAGGGTAATCTAAATAAAAATTACAATAATATTTTACTTCAGTCCAGTCAGATGGCAATGATCGAGAATACAAGCAATAATAAATGTTGGTGAAGTTGTAGGGAAAAAGATACACTTGTATATTGTTGGTGGAACTGCAGGCTAGTACACCAACTCTGGAAAGAATAATTTTGGAGATTCCTCAGAAAACTAGGGAACCACTCTATGACCCAGTTATTCTACGCTTTGGTATTTTCCCCATAGATCTAAAATTGGCATAGTATAGTGATACAGCTACCTCAGTGTTTACAGCAGCATAATTCATCATAGCTAAATTATGGAATCAACCCAGGAGCCTATCAATTGATGAACAGATGAAGAAATTGTGGAATATATGTACAGTGGAGTTCTACTTGGCCCTAAAAAAGAATTAAATTATGGCATTCATAGGT